TCCCGTTTCGTTCTAACCGAGTTTCCCATCTACGACTCTGTTCATGCCTTTCTCTCTATCCGTTCTGCCTATTATTCCCACTTTTCTCTTGCTCCTCGCTGTTCATTCTGTCCCCGTTCCTCTATTCCCCTTCATCCACCCCCGTTCTTCGCTTCGTTTCTTCCTGGTACCTCCTCGTTTTCCCTTTCTTCGCTTCGATGCTCTTTCCGGTTCCCTTCTGGCATTTGCCTAAGTTGTTTTTGTTCTTTACCTCTGCCCTTTCCCTTTCCGCTTTTATTTCTGCGAGCCGCGCGCTTCGAGGAAGCGTCTAAATCAGCGGGAATCGATATTCATGTACATTTTATTTAAATTCTACAATTTTATTTATACATTTATTTCTATACATTTTAACATTCTCACTGGATTACAGATCTTCGCGTGTATTCCATATGAAAGTCTCCAAAAATTTGTGAAATGCGACTTCTATCAAAAATTTCGAGCAGAACCGAACGCGGGACTGTTCGAATTAAAACCGAAATAACGGTTCCCCAAACACTTAACATTTTATTTCACGGTGAATTAGACTGCGATTACGCCGCCTCTCGCCGGGGGAATCTGTAAATGCCAGGGAAAAGCGTTCGCGCGACGTGAATCATTTTATTCCGGGCGATGGTCGCCTCTTCCTCCCCCCGTTGCGTCGCAGCCATCGTTCACCCTGTCGAGGTTAGACTGCGAAAAGGTGGCGACGAGAAACGGCCAATGGAAGGGCGGGACGCTTGAATGGGAGGTAATCGAATGAATGGATAGAGCGACCGGGACGCTTTCGGGGTCGTCAGAACCCCGGCCGCTGAAAGGGGATGTTAGGGTGTTGTTTAAGGGGTTATTGTCGCGCCGCCCTTTTGTCCCGCGAGTTCTCGCGATGCAATCCGTTCCGCCGTTTCGCCGTTAAATGTTATTTATTGCAGAGAAAAAAGAGGCTGCGTAATCTTCGTGTCCGTTGCTCGTAGCTTCGCGCCTTCGTTGTTCGATGCGTTAAAAAGGGGATTTCTAGGTTTCCCGATAGGGGTTGACGGGCTTTCCACGTGGCAGCCCGATGCGTGGAAAGTGTAACTTTATTACGAGGACATGAAAGGTTTAGCTGATACATGATATTCGTGTAAAAAGCTCGGAATGAAGTGGAACTTGTTGAGTGCTGGGAAATTTATAGACAGCTGGAACTTTGTGCGATACGTAGCGTTCGAGGGAAAGTTGGGGAACGATGGAATTTAGTTGAATTAAATATTAGTTCTTTGAATTTTTAATTTGCCTGTTGGATTCACTTTTATATTAACTCGTGTTCGAGAAGATTCTGAAATTGAAGAACTGTAAAGGTTGCATGAGATACGGGTTCTTCGAATTTTTAATTTAACCGTTGGATTCACTTTTTGGTGTAGCTTTCGTAACGATTATTTTGTGATCACGAATTATTGAGATATTTTCGGTGAACTGTTTCCGCGTGATCGTTAAAGGGACAGTGGTCTCTGCCGATTTTGGGCAGGAACTCCGCGCGACTTGGCCGCAATTTCTACCGAATTTTAACGGGAACGATTATTCACGGCTGACCCGTATACGTACGGCCGCGCGAAACCCGGTAAACCATAAATGTGGTTTTCGTGACCATAAACTTCTGCCCCGACAATTACGCTTGTAACTTTCTTTTCGGCCCGCAAACGCGGCCGTCCGTCGTTCTCCCAGAAACGCTCGTCCAGCTCGTTCGCGGGGAAACACTATTTTCGGAGAGAACCGCGGGAACAAGCCGGCGGAATGGGTTCATTTTGTTCGTCGGAATATTTCCCCTTTGACTAACCGATCGTTTCGTTGTAATAAACATTATTAAATGGAAATTACGATCGTGCTGCTTTGGAAATAAATTTAAATTACCATTCAAATTTCATTCCAAAAAACAGAAAATTCGTTTCCTTTGTTCAATCAGAAAGAAATCAAATCTAAAACGAAACTATCGTAAAATCATGTTTCCTTTAGCCGTACTTTCATTCCGAGTGCCAAACAATTCCAGTGTTTGGTAAGAATGCTGCATTCCATGATCAGAATCTCCAACTTTCTTCCTTAAGTATAATACAATCTGTTACTCCGGCAAAAAGCGTGTTCTGGTAGTTAGGTTTCACTAGTAGTTACGTTTGTTCGGTAAACACAGGTAACGCGAGTGCAAATTCAAAGTAACGCGCTCACGTCGGGAACTTTCCTGAAGAAAGTTCGCCTCGCAGGCGTGAGTGCGATCTAAATAATTTAGCTCGCGAACCGAACGCATGAAATTATGAATGAATCCGCGCGCGAAGCGATTCATTCAACCAACAGCGGCGGTTAATACTTTGTTCGCGGGCAGACCATCGAAGGAAAAAGTTGTACGTTTTAACGAGGTCTAACTTTCTACGAGCCGTCTTCTTTTTTTTCTCTCTCCAACGCTGTCGCACCTGCACCGAGCGGTTGTCCCGCTCTTTTCCTTCCACCTCTTCACCCCCTTCTTTCTCCTGTTTAAAACAAACCCCCGTAATTACGCATCTTTGTCATCCGTAAATTAATTATTCTCATAGCTCCGCGTAATTTGCGAAACGTAAACACTTCAGCGCGGGAATAAAGGAACATTTTTCTCGGCGCAGCCGCCGGGCGGGAAAGTTATCGCGTGTATTACACCTGAGACGTTTAACACTCTCCCATAATGAAGGGTATAATGGAGTTTCTGATAATAGCACTTGTCAGCGCGGCGGCTGTTAATTAAGAATCCGAAAAGTCATTGTTGCACATTTATTAAGAGTTAAAGAATGCATTCTTACAGCCATTAATTGAAGGTTTGAAAAGTTATCGTTACTTGTTAATTCGGAATTGAAAAATGTGTTGCGATACCTATTTATTGAAAATTTTCAATGTTACCGTTACACCTGTTAATTGAGAATTGTCGAATTTATCGTTGCAATGAACCGCTGTTCTTCTTAAGGGATGATAGATCGCTGTGCGGTTCTTGAAATGGAACTTTAAAGAATTAATAAAGTCTTCGCTGTTCGTTACGGGGTCGAAAAGGTTCGTTAAATGATCTTCAGTCGATGATATGTTAAAATCATGAAGGGGTCAGGTTATACGAAGGGTAACAGGTGTAAGTCCATATTAAAATCGAAACTTATTAACCCTTTCCGCCCCTAACGCCGAGTTTAGTCGTCATCGTCGGAACGAGCAGCGCATACTAGCGCCAGCTGTGGTCGCCACCCCAAAGTAAAACGAGAAAAGATAGAAATTACGATATTTACCTTCGTTCCGATACACACCGTACGGAGTTTTATTTTTAATTCGGTAAAAGTATTTCAATTAAAATAAATAATCCAATTAGCGACTCCGTGTCCCCAATAACCAATCAGTTGTTCAATTTACTTAATTAAAAGCGGCGCATAAAGCTGCACACTCGGTCGCTCGAATGTTCGGAGTCATTATTTCATCTGCGTCTATATAAATATTTTAAATTAATAAACCCCGCTATAGATAAACGACGACATTACGATTAGCAACCTGTATTTACAATAATTCAGAAACAGCGTTAAATGATACTTAGCACACGGGGAATAGTAATGAGGAAACGCGCAGGTAAACGTCAAGAAATTTCATTTTAATTTCAAATCACTTTTACATTGAATTAATGACTGGAGTTCGATAACGAGAACCAACGTTATATCGAACCAATGCCAATCGAGACTTCGCCTCGCTGCGTTTAGAATGATTATCTCAATGGTGGATTTCGGAGAAATCGGAAGTTTGAATCGTGCTCGTTTTTCGGTTGCAGAAAATATGTGTCTTCCAAAAGTTACTCGAGGACTTGTCCTCGCGGATGGCCGGCGCCGAGGCGATCCAGAGCGGCTGGCAAAATCCGAGCGACGCGAACGAGGCGACAGAATTGCTCGAGCAATTGCAGAAATTCGGCGAACGGCTGGTGCCCATTCAGAGGAACATCGAGGACGCGAACGATCAGGCGAGCGTCTTCGTCTCGAGCAGCGTCATCGTTTCTCATGCTTTGCTGGCGAAACTCGAAGATCTCAACACCAGGTAGACCAACTTCCACTGAATTCCTCCGGTTACCGTGCCGTCGCGTTACGGGTACAGGAAGTTGCAGATAGTTCGCCGTCGCAGCGTCACGTACAAGCGAGAATCATATGAATATTTATTTCCTTAACGTATTTCGCTGATTTTATCACGCGTATTCGCGGGTACTCTGAACGGAGGATAAAACTAATGGAAAACATAATTACTCGTTCATATTACCCCTACGAATGTACCGAGTTTTCCGAGTAACTCTTCGTTATTCGAACTTGAAAGATCTTGTTTCACTTCGATAGCATCTCGTCGATATCGAGTGCGCCAGTATTCCTTTGTATAATCATTAGCCTCGGTTAATATTTGTGAAATTCAATTGGAAATCTTCAAATTCGAAGCGCAACGGAACATCCGAAATAAGTTGTAACGCGCGAGGCATCGAAGGTCGCCGCTCCTCGACGCCGATAACCCTCCCTTAACTTTGTTATTTCTGTTCGGTGGAGGATATATCGTTCGCCGAGGTACACTTACCGCGAAGTCGGTTATTTCTCGGTTTCCCGTCGCCGTTCGAATGGAAAACCGCGAGACGGTAACTTTTTCACGTGTTTTCGCAGGTGGAAGGTGCTGCAAGTGGCGGTTGACGAGCGTTACAAGTTGCTAAGCGGATTTGGAAAGGATGGCAGCACTCCGGGTAGCCAGGCTTTCCTCGCGAGCAGCGTGGAACCACCATGGGAGAGAGCCCTCACACCCGCCAAAGTGCCTTACTATATCAAGTAATCGATCTTCCTTGCTCCGCAGCCAGTCACCTTAAACTGACGACCGAATTCCGCCCTCCCACGATCCAACCGGCGCCGAATTCCGTGCCGGCGCCTCGATCTTAGCGCAAGCAAACGAATAATTGATGAGACAGTTGTGATTTGAGACAACAGGAAGTTTGCGGGGAGACCGGGAGTAACCCGGATTTAACGTTTGCGAGGGAATACGCGATTGGACAATGGAAATTCGGAATTCGGAGCCGGCAACGAATTCGGGGAGAATGTACCCTTCGGGATTGCCGTGGTGAAATCGATCTTACAGTTCATTGAGATTCAGAAAACATTAGTGTAACGTTTGTTTCCGTTATGCAAACATCAGAGTTATTCTTTAATTAACGTTACAATATTCGGTTACATCGTTTACGTGACGAGTTGTAAGAGACAGTTCTAATATCGATCGGCCATCTTGGCGGTACTGAATACAGACCATCTATAAAGATATTCTCCCAGTTTCTTCACGAGGAATATGTTACTTTGCGATAATTCAAGAATAAACATTTTCTAAGAATGTAATATATTATTCAAAGAGAATCGAATAGATCGTTTCAATCGTAATCGAAGAATCCCGAAGGATGTCGGCTGCCCGAGTTCGTCGAAGCGTAGACAAATACTCAAAATGGCGGCCGTGCCAAGAATCGCTTCGGATACCATAAAGATTAAACAAAGTTCTCGGCTGGTTCTGGCGAACTTCTATCCGCGAGATCCTTCCAGCCGCCGAGAAATTTCATTAATTCCTTAATCTCCCTCCAACTGCGACTTATCCCCTAATTCGAGTGCGTTTTCAGCCATCAGTCGGAGACCACCCACTGGGATCATCCGAAAATGATAGAGCTGATGTCTTCTCTGGCGGATCTGAACGAAGTACGATTCTCGGCGTACAGGACCGCGATGAAGCTGCGCACCGTTCAGAAACGATTGTGCCGTGAGTATCTCGCTCGCTCCCGTGGCAGCTAGCTCGCGGGCTTCTATTAGTCTCCCTCGCGTGGTGGAGATTAGTTAGCTCCCGGCGCGTTCATTAATCGTCACAATTTTCTCGATTAATCACGTGTCCCGTTGTAATGACGCGCCGCAACGTTGTCAATGGATCCCATCTTCCTCGCGGTTCTATTTCGCTTCAGACGATAGCTAGCTCGTCGTTAGGTCGCCGCATAAATTCTGCGCGGACGATTCTTCATCGCGTCGCGAGAATGGCGCCGATTCATTCTCCGAACTGAATAGAGCTTTCTTTTTGTTGGACTCTTATCTAATGCGCCCCGCGGCATGGACGTTTTGCGTCCATTTTCATTAACTGTATTTCATTCCGACGAGACTTCAAAAGGGACTCCCAGTTGGCTTTCATTCCGCTTTGACGCGCGCGCGCCGCGCATAATGTACAGTTGTTAATAAAACGAAACGCTTAGACCAGTGAAAGCCTCATATCGATCCCTTATCCTTTACAGTGGATATGTTGAGCCTCTCCACCGCATTGGAACAGTTCGATTCGCACGGGCTCCGAGCGCAGAACGACAAGCTAATCGACATACCGGACATGGTGACAGTCCTGACGTCCTTGTACGAAGTGATCACGGCTGACAATCCGACGCAGGTGTCTGTGCCGTTGTGCATCGATCTGGCCATCAATTGGCTCCTCAACGTATATGATAGGTGAGTACGATCGATCGGCGTCGCCCGTGAAATAATCCCGAACGACCGAGCTAATCGGTTTCGTTCGTTCAACGCGACAAACGTAATTTCGCGACTCACCGATCAATTCACGATTTTCCAGTCAACGGACCGGCCAAATCCGCGTGCTCTCCTTCAAGGTTGGCTTGGTCCTGTTGTGCAAGGGCCACTTGGAAGAGAAATATCGATGTAAGCTCCGGCCGATACAATCTTTCCTTAAGCTTTCCAAGACGAAGAACGCGTCTGACGAGACTTCCACCGTTTTCAGATCTGTTCCGACTGATCGCCGATCCGAATAGATTGGTGGATCAACGGAAACTGGGGTTGCTGTTGCACGACTGCATCCAAGTGCCGAGACAGCTGGGAGAAGTGGCGGCATTCGGCGGATCGAACATCGAGCCCAGCGTGCGTAGCTGCTTCGAGAAAGCCGGGAAGGACAAGAACGAGATAGAGGCGGTGCACTTTTTGAGCTGGCTGCAGCAGGAGCCGCAAAGCATGGTCTGGTTGCCTGTGCTTCATCGACTCTCCGCCGCGGAGAGCGCCAAGCATCAAGCGAAATGTAACATATGCAAGGAGTACCCCATCACTGGGTTCAGGTAAAACTTCGGATCTTTAATGCCCGGCCCGATTCTAAATCCGATCGGCTGCTTACACGCGGACATCTAAACGTTTCAGATACCGATGCTTGAAATGCTTCAATTTCGACATGTGCCAGAACTGTTTCTTCTCGGGCCGCAAGGCGAAGAATCATAAACTGACGCATCCAATGCAAGAGTACTGCACTGCAGTGAGTATACACGATATTAGTACCTACTACCGAGGAATGAGTATTTTTACCGCAGGCGGAATAAACTTAATGACCTCAGGATTCGTTCGAGTAACCTGGAAAACGTGAGCCTCATTGCTGCAGGCAGTAGAGTATCTTTCTACCTACTTTTCGGCTGCAAGGAAATCATTAACCCCTTGGCCTACAATATCGTGTCACTCTTGGTGATGATTTCGAATAGTATTTAACACGTGTAAATGTCACTTAATTCTTCCAAGTCCGAATTGAATATTATTTTTCTCTTATTAATTATAATGTTTCTGAGTAAACATACAATAAGTGTATTTTTCTCTTTTTTTACTGAATTATGAACAATAAAACATTTCTGTTGGACGCAATCGGAAAATTAATCATAGGGCAAGGGGTTAATGAAATTGATTCTCTGCTCTCTTTATCCAACAGTTATATACCTAAATCTCACCTGTGAAACCTAAGAATCTAAATAGTATAGAAAATATTTTTATGAACGATACACTTCACCTAAACTCTGCCATCCTCAATGAAAGTCATACTCGAAGATCTTCCTTGGTGTCTCGGGACGCTCGCTAAATCCGCCGCGGCAAGCGTACACTTTTCAACCCCATTCCGCGCAGACCATCTAAAAGCAAAGTGCGAAAAGCGAAGGCCAGCCACCGGCAGAGACGTAAATTCCGCGGCTTATTTTGCCGGGCGCCTCGTATCGTATTTTCTATATATAGTTGAAAAGCGTCAGTGTCCATGGGTCGGCGCAATAATATTCGTTTATTTATTTGCCGCAGACCACATCTGGAGAGGACGTGCGCGACTTCACGAGGGCACTACGGAACAAATTCAAGTCGAAGAGATACTTCAAGAAGCATCCGCGTGTCGGTTATCTGCCAGTGCAGACCGTGCTGGAGGGCGACGCGCTGGAAAGCCCCGCGCCATCGCCGCAGCACAGCTCCCTCAGCCAGGACATGCACTCGCGACTGGAGATGTACGCTTCCCGGCTGGCGGAGGTCGAGCTGTCGCGCACCAGGAGCAACTCGACGCCGGACAGCGACGACGAGCACCAGCTGATAGCGCATTATTGCCAAAGCCTGAACGGCGGTGACAACGTCAACGTGCCGAGGAGCCCCGTGCAGGTGATGGCCGCGATCGACGCGGAGCAGAGAGAGGAACTCGAGGAGATGATCCGCGATCTAGAAGAGGAGAACGCAACGCTCCAAGCGGAGTACGAACGACTGCGATCGAAACAGACGCCGGGCTCCACGCCTGAAGATGGACACGGCAACCGACAACCCAACTGCGACATGATCGCCGAAGCGAAACTGTTGAGACAACACAAGGGCAGACTCGAAACGCGCATGCAGATACTGGAGGATCATAACAGGCAGCTGGAGGCACAGCTGCAGAGACTTAGACAGCTTTTGGATGAGGTGGGATTGGGTTCTCTATTGGTTGTTAGAGGGTATGCTTTGTTGATTGCAATGATTGATGGATTAACCCCTTGAATTACAATACCGTGTCAGACTAGTGAGAATTTTAAATTGAATTTGAGAGTATTATTCATTTTTTTTTAATATAAATTAAGTATCACTTTTCTATTGTCAATCGTTAACCTTTGGAGTAGACATAGAATAAACATCCAAATTTTGTCTTTTTCAATGAATTATTAATGATAAAGTAGTTGTATCGATTCTAGTTCAGAGATAAATCATAGGGTATGGGGTTAATAGATAGAGTTGGTATTTAGATGGTAATGTAGGTGAAGATTATTCAGGATATTAAGCTTGTTAGCATTTTTTGAGATCATTGAAATCAGTGAAGTCTATTCTGTTGAATAATTACTGTTAGTTTTTAAAAATCTTTGTGTTGTTGGTTTTGATAATGGTAATCGTTACAGCCAAATGCTTCGTCGCCGTCGAAAACGGGCACCTTGCAAACACGAAGCGTAACTGCATCGCAACTGGCAACCGATTCTCCGGCAAAGATGAATGGTCACTACCATGATTCACCAGGTTTGTTAACATTCGGTACTAACCCCATCGGTAGTTAACAATTAGTAATAGACTGTAGGGATCAAACGTGTACGCTTCGAAAATTTACACCTCCATGCATCGACAATTTTTGCTCAATACACGCGGGTTCCATTATCATTGACAAGTGAACTACCATAGCGAGGATTAAAAATTCGAAACGCCATTGGGTTGAACAGGGTTCCGCATTCACATTAAATGTCTTTTTCCTCTTATACAGGGTGACATTCAACATAGGTGTCCAAACTTTGAGACTGGAAACTTTTTCTTGACGATATTTAAACACTTTTGATTTTTCCTAGTATTCTAGAAATGCTTAAAACCTGTGGTCCTTCTATCCTGCATAAAGGATACCCAGCAATTTTTAAGTATTGCTATATTCCGTTGAATCACGTTTGAAATGAACCGTCACAAGGACGCACCTATTAGCAGTCTACTAACCGCAAATTAACAAAGAAATTAGCAAAGGCTTATCGGTATGGGTATATATGGGCGTAGGTGGTGGAGGCTCGAACGAGGGAAGAGTGAGCAGTTTAGAGAGGCCACCACCGCCACCGCATTCTCACAGCGTAGCCCATAACGTGGGCAATCTCTTACACATGGCAGGTTCGTTTCTTCTTGGTGTAACTATTCAATCTAATCACGTCTACGTAGCCCGTAATCAATCTTCTTTGTCTCGAACATTCTCTGCACGACCCAGTTCTGCTTAACAATGACAATGCTTTCCTATTTTTTTTTTCACGCCACAGGATGGATGTAAGGTGAGAGTCTCAATGCTTAATTTCCTGCTGGATCTTCCATCCGCGTGAACACGCTGTGACATGCCTCGTCATGCTAAATTCAGTGTCATTCGAATTCAAGTCAATGTCTGATACTTCAATCCCATGTTCACGAATATTTGTCCATGTGTACATATACATACTCAAATCATCTTGTCTGTTCATTGCTTCTTGCCACTCTATGTACTCTTCGATTGGCGCAAAGAACATGTTATTTTTGCAAGGAACAAAGGAAATGGGAAAAGTACCTTCAGTCTCTATATTTTTAAGTATCATCTTAGAAATAAAATAGAGAAATCCAATGCAAGAATGATATGTTTTACTGCAACGATCTACTATAATCATACAGTTGAAATATTTGTCCACACAACATTCTCATCTCTCGTGTATGTGTGCATGTGGAAAGGATCTTGTAAGGGTTGATTAATTGTTCTACATACAAAGATTGCAGCCAACTGTCGAACTTGAATAATTTTCTCAAAAAATAAAATACAAGAAAAATGCAATTGCTCTGCTCTGAGTTACGACAGAAATTTGGCAGCAGTCCGTATAATAAAAGCTAATGTTTGTACAGATATAAAACCACTGAATCATTCTAGGAAAAGAGACATGTCGATTTTTCTTTTAGGAGACTTAGGGAAAGCTGTCGGCGAGCTTGTGACAGCGATGACCAGCGATGACACGTCGAAAACGAACGGGCAGAGAGCACCGCCGCCAGCTTTTAAGTAACGATCGCACGAGCCACGTTCGAGGGCCATTAAGGACGTCCGAAACGGCATCAACGAACGGGAATAAGGAAGAACGACTCGACTCTAGACAGACACGAAAAAAAACGACGAACTCTTAATCTTATCATCAGTGACCAATGAAGAAGTCTGGCTCTAAAACGCATATCAGAGGGACGATAATATCGCGCGAAATGCAGGGTCAGGGGCGCCGCCATAGTGGTTTTGGGTATTTTATAAGTTTTGATATACAACCGTTGTATAGCTAAATTATATAATTAATAAGACAATTTATGGTTTGGCTTTGGCGGGCCCCTGAGAGTAACTTTAACTACATATTGACACGTCATATCATTCGAAACTTATCGTTGCGACGGGAGGTGGAATAAAAGAAATGAATAACCAGGGGCGGGGGGAAAAGTTAAGGGAAATAAAAGGAGAGAAGTGTCAGTTGTTATATGCTTGCTAGTTAATCTATACGATCGAAC